CATCAGATTGCCACTTACTTAGACGCAGCAGGGGAACTGGAGGGATCAGCAGTGAATGTAAGGTCAAAACTCCATTTTGACCCACAGCTGGTGCACTGGTTGTCAGATCTATTGCCCAGGATTAACTCTAGAACACTTCCCACCGGTGAGATGGGGCTATGCTTCCCAAGGTTTTCCACCCAGAGTCCCTGGAGCAGATGAGCCAGAACCTCTATTTCTTGGGAGGCCCAGGAGGAATGGTCTAAAGCTATTCATGTGACCCCACATTTCTTTAAAACTTCAGATTCTCCATTTCAGTGGCATAGGATCTTTGTATTGTAATCCAAAACAAACTAAATTGATGACAAATTCTCCAGTGGCCGAAAAGTACAGCTCACTGTCTCTTATGCCAAGTTCCCTGTGCCCTGATTTGAGACACACAGGTTGGTTAAGGCTTCAGAAACAACACAGTGACACTGGTGAAGACAGGGTTAAGAGTCAGAAATCAGAAGCCTAGAAGGTGGCTTTTGTAAGAAGGGATAAGGCAGGCAAAATAAGAGTCATACTGGGGCGCCTGGGTGGCGCAGTCAGTTAAGCGTCCGACTTCAGCCAGGTCACGATCTCGGGGTCCGTGAGTTCGAGCCCCGCGTCAGGCTCTGGGCTGATGGCTCAGAGCCTGGAGCCTGTTTCTGATTCTGTGTCTCCCTCTCTCTCTCTGCCCCTCCCCCGTTCATGCTCTGTCTCTCTCTGTCCCAAAAATAAATAAACGTTGAAAAAAAAATTAAAGAGTCATAGTTTGCAAGTGCGTTGGTAAAAAGCATGCTCAGAGGCAACGAGACTTTAAGGAGGTAAAAGCTATCTAATTTTTGCCATTCCATAGACCACCTCTGATCAATTCTATCCTATGATTTTATTGAAACCCTCTTGAACCAAATGAAATGTTTTAAATTTCCACCTCATAAATTAATTTCTATTCAGATACCACTAACTCATATCAGCCAAAACAAGCAAAAAAAAAAAAATTCACCTAGTGATTGTATATAACATAATCTTATCCATTCCACACACATTATTGAATAAATACAAATTTTATTTGTATACTTACATATAAACAATATCCTTAGTTTGATCATTTAAAAAAATACAGATTCATATAACCAAAATGCTTGAAGGACTTAGCCAACTAAGTGTTGACTATTTTTACCCATAAATATGAATATTCAGCCTGCCAAAACTGGTTTTGCAATAGCCATACTTGAGATATTTGTGGATTTCCATGAAGATTGACTCTTCAGATTATGAGATCCAATACAACACTCAAATCAAATATTAAAGGAAAAAATGAACTTTCAACCCCAAGTTAGGACCTTATATAGGAAATTCCTGTGGTATTTGCCCACTCTGAAAATTCTAATGAGTACTTTTCTTTTTCAAAATCAAGTAGGATATATAAATAACAACAGTACCTCAAGTGCTTTTATAAATAGCAAAGCTATACTTTCACAGCTATAAGCAAATGATATTTGTATTTCCCTGAGAAATGGTTTGAGTTCAAGGGCAAAATGTGAGTGTGTGAGTGTGTGTGTGTTTCCTGAAGTCATTGATTGCAAGATGTGGGGAAGGCTAAGAAGAGAACATGTATCTGTTGATGTTCAGGTGAGACCAGCTCCCTGCCCATTTCAGATCAGCTGTGGGAACTAGGGTCCCTTAACCTCTCCTACAGTTTCCATCCCATCAGAGCCTCTGGGCCTCATTCTCTTTAAGTGCAGTAAAATAGAAGACCCTGCCAAGAAGCTCAGAGGCACCCCCGCCCCCAACAAGTGGGTCTGGCTGCCAGTCCTGCTCTCATTTGTGCCTTTCTTCTCCTGGAAGCCACTCCCTGAAACCTCTGTTCCTTATTCTTCCCTTACCCTTCTCTAGAATGCAGTCATGCTCACAAACTCTAGGGACCATGATATCATTTTCTAGACCTGTATCCTTAAACCTGACCTTGTCTTCCTCCTCCTACCTCATCCTTTTCCTCCCAGACAGGGATGCTCTGTCCATTCACATGACCTGCTTCAAGATCCATTGTGTTATGCCAGGATGTTCCACATACCCTTCCTCAGTCCTAGGGCCCTTTGCCTCTTACTCATCTGGTGCCAATTTGCCTCATCCCCCGATGGTGGTATGGGTACGACAATCACACAAACTAGATTTTTCGATTGATTGTTTATCTGTAAATGGAAATTAGATTTTAAGAGCTTCCATCCTTGGCTAGTGCCTAAAAGCTTAAATCCTGACACGCTTATAAAGTTTCTCTGAATTACTTGAACTCTTATTTCCCTAAAAGCTACTGACTGGCAGCCTTAAGTGCAGGACTCTGTGTCGTCTTAACAGGTGTATCTGTCTGCCAATCCATGCCATTATTGAGGATCTCTCTTGAGGGCCAGGCATCTGAGATTTTACAATTGACCTGCATATCTAGTGACATTAAAATGACATAGAAGCTGGGGCACCTGGGTGACTCAGTCTGTTAAGCATCTGACTTCGGCTCAGGTCACGATGTCCCGGTTTGTGGGTTTGAGCCCTGCCTCTGGCTCTGTGCTGACAGCTCAGAGCTTGGAGCCTGCTTTGGAGTCTGGGTCTCCCTCTCTACCTGCCCCTCCCCCACTCACGCTCTGTCTCTTTCTGTCTCAAAAATAAATATTTAATGAAAAATGACACAGAATCCTTTCCTTGACTTCATTTACATTTTCTGAACTAGTCCTGAAACTTGGGTCCTGCAGTTAGAAGCAGATTTATAACACAGAGGTCTTGAATCCTCACTTTCCCAGAGTAAGGCTGATCCACTGATGGGCACAAAATTTGTCAACTGTTCTTAACAAAAGTTCTCGATGACAAGGAGCACTCTCTTTCTGAGGGGAGCTCTCTGCAAATGCCACTGATGTTGTCATTGGAAAGACTTTTTGGAAGTTCTTCCTGAAATCATCTTCAGAAAATGATTGCTCCTATAACTCATAAATGGTTTCTGAAGACTATCTCAAAGGAAGTCAAGTATGTAAGCAATGGCCGCATCATTGACCTAAGAGCACAGCTTCCCAAGAAGAGCACTGGAAGGGCAATAAAGAAGTGGGTGTAACCTCATAACTTTGCAGATGTATCATTTTTCTCTAACTTGATGAAAAGAAAAACTATAATGTTGACTAGTGGCCTGTTTACCTGTTTATTGAATGTTTCAGGGGTGGTTATCTTACCTATTTGTGTCCCAAAGTCTTGACAAACAGAAAGAACTCCTTGAATGTCTGCTAAATGGAACTAGATTAACTTGTTTCAGTTGAAAGCTTTGTTAAGGTTATTAGTGCTCATGAGTAAGTACATCACGTACTGTAATGTGTTCTAAATGTCCCCAGATATGTTTGTATTTTCCCTTCCTACTTTTTGTAGCAGGGAGCTGAACTGTCACACCTGATTCTAAGGCACAGAGCTTTTCACACACCAACATGTGTTTATATTTATCCTCAATGATCTAAGCATACACAGAAATCTCATTTGTAATGTTCCAAGTCCTTTTTTATCAGCTTGGAACTTTAAGCTTCTTCTAACCATAACTTTTCTATGAAAATTCAACTCACTATAAACTCTAAAACCACTACTGCTCAAACTGTTCCAGAAGTACAGGCACAATGTGCTGCCTCTGACATGAAATAAAACTCTATTAAAGAGATTTGAAATCATATGATGAAAATAAAATGCATTGGGTAATACAGTTACTATGTTGCTATCATTGTTGTTGCTCTTTAAGTACAGCAAATGAAACAGGATCTCTTAATCTGTTTCCCCAACTTGGGGATTAGAATGAATTTCCAGTGAGCTCATTGGAAAGCTCTATCAGAGCGAAGGACAGACTCCACTCCTTGAGTCAAAATTGTGCCAAACTGAACCAAAAACCAAACAGAAGGGCTTGAAAGGATCCTGAAAACTAAGGTTCCAGGAGGGTGGGGTCTCAGGGACATGGACTCGAGTCACAGTCTAAAAAGCAGAAAGTATACTGTCAAGAAGAGTCAGTCATTCTTGCAGTGGCCAGCAGTGTAGGGATGTTTACATTAAAAACAACAACAAAAACAGTATTCTGAGTCTCTGGGAAACCCCTTGTAACACTGCAATACAAGTGTTGGACGTTGAGAGGCCGGGGCACTGGACTCTGCTGAAGGTACAATTGTGTGTGGCAACAAGAGTTCTAGTCCAAAATGCACCTCTGTGATCATTAAAAAAAAAAAAAAAAAAAAGAGGTTTTGATGGGTGAGAAGTTATTTTTTATCTCTTTCAAAGCATATAGGTCTTCCCAGACCCATCTTCTGGTCCTGTCAGATGGAACAACACTTGAAACCCTCTTGACAAGGAGCCCAAGGCTCTAACACCAAGGATTCCATGTGGTTTAAATATAAGAAAAAAAAGAAAGAAAAAAAAAACTTTATTTCCCCACCTTGCTGAGTGAATCCTTCAGCAAACTTGTCAGAAACAAAACATGAGCCAGTTTAGTTTGTTGTTTTCCTATGCAGAAATAGGCAGCATGACAGAACCGTCACTGACCTTGAAATTGAAAAGACCTGGAGTTAGCCTCTTGGCTTAGCTACTTATAATCTGGGTGACCAGGGACAAAGTACTTTGCCTCTCTGAAACTCAGTTTCCTCACCTGTAAAACAGAAGTGATAATGTCCGGTGACCAGGTCATTATGGTGGTTAAACAAATTGACACACAAAAGTGCTTGGCACAGAACCTGGCAGGGGACAGGTCTGTCCCGAATGTTACATATTACTCTTCTTCCCTCCTGAGGTAGGTCGCACAAACATTCCTGGCTGGTGTCCCAAAGCTGTGACTTCCAAAAGGAGCTCCCATGCGGAGCCGCGGGGAACCCAGATGTGTGGCCTGTAGCTCCAGCCCAGCCTGCTGTCTGAAGTGGGACGAACCCAGGCAACAGGTGAGGAGGGAGGTCTCCTGGCACCTCGCCCCGCGCCCCCGTGGCTCCGCCCTCCCGCAGTCACACCGACACGGCTCCGGGCACGATCCTCCGGATGTGGGTGTAAGATTTCCTGATGGTGACACTGCCGTGGTGCGACACCCCCCGGGGCAGGACACACTCCTCCGTCAGTTTCTGGGCCTCGGGGTCCCAGCACAGCACCGTGGCGATGACCTCGTTCTTCTCGTCCCGCCCCCCAGTGATGTAGAGCCGGTTGTTGCAGGGCGCGATGCCGCAGCTGGCCCTCTCGTGGCTGAGCTGGGTCACCAGGCACCAGCTGTCTTCCAGAGGGCTGTAGGCGTACAGCGCTCTCATAGCCCCTCCTGAGGAGGAAGGGAAACACGGTGGGCATCTCACTGTTTTTTCTGGTTTTCTTCCCCTTTAACCACAAAAAGCCCACTTCTGCTAGGTCAAATCTACCATCTCGCCAATGGAAACAGGAGCTTCACGGCTCTCCAGAAAGCTCTAATGGATTCTAGGGACAGTATGTCTGTGCTGGAAACACTTCAGAGAGCCCCTTAAACTCTGCTGCCAGGCGCTAATCAGGGTCTCAAGGACGACTGGCTTCACGTGGTGCCAAAATGTATCCTAAGACTGCTCCCTAGAAGAAATACCGCCTGGTACAGCTGGGGCACTCAGCTCACGACCCCAGCTCTGCCACGTTTTTACTGTAACCATAAGCACTGAGGCTGCGGTGGTTGTAAGACGTCAGAAGGACCATGCTCACAAAGCACCTGCAGAAAGCCTGGTACACAGAAGCTATCGATACATGGCAGTGACTAGAGGTGGTGGCGTCTCTTTGTAGACTGAGCATGACCTGGGACGCCAGCCCAAGTTACCCATTTTAAGATGAGCTTTGAAGTCATGAGGCTGACCATAAACACACAGGAAACCTGAAGCAAGAGAGAGAAGGGGGTTTTCCTTAATCTGTTCCTGTATTCTGCCTCCAGGAAGCCTGCTCTGATTAGTTCTTGTTTGCTGAAGTTACATATTTTTGGCATCTCCTTAATCAGTAATTCTCAGTCATGGCTGCACATGAAAGTCACCTGCACATTAGAAACACCTTGCACTGTTGGGGCGCCTGGGTGGCTCAGTCAGTTAAATGTCCAACTTCAGCTCAGGTCACCATTGCGAGGTTCACAAGTTCAAGCCCGGCGTTGGGCTCTATGTTGACAGCTCAGAGCCTGGAGCCTGCTTCAGATTCTATGTCTCCCTCTCTCTCTCTCTCTGCCCCTCCCCTGCTCATACTCTGTCTCTCTCTCTCTCTCTCAAAAATAAGTAAAACATTAAATAAAAATTAAAAAAAAAGAAACACCTTGTACTGTAGACCAACGTGCTCCCTCTCATTCTGATATAATTGCTCTGGAATAGGGCCTAGCTATGCATATTTTTGTAAAAAGCTCGCTAGGTGATTCTAATGAGTAGTTGGTATTGAGATCCGTCGTCCTTAACAATTCCATACCAACTGTGGTATGGCTAGCCAGGCTTTCCTTGTGGCTAAATGCAACTTTTCAGATCCCCAGAGCAAGTGGAAAGAGTAAAATTCCCATGAACACAAAATAAGAAATAATGATAGCTACCATTCATCGGTCACTTACTGTACTGTGCACACTTCAATTTTCATACATTTGCTAATGTTTGCAGCACACTTCGTTCCTGTGGCAACTTCTGGCTCCTCCACTGGGCCCCACTGTCGGTCTATTTTGTATGTACCCTAAACGTGGGCTGTCTCTGTGTCCAGTAGTACTACAAGGTAATTCCCACCAAGGCCTGGACCAATCCCTTCTCTTCCTTTTCCACCTCACCCACAACACCCAGGAATCCATGTGAGTTCCCAGGAGGGCCTTATCTGATCTACCCCCATGGCTCCATGGGTGGCGGACCTCAGATAAATAAGATGCCATTCATTTACTTACCAACAACATAGATGCGGTCCCGGAAACTGACAGCATTGATGCATTTAGCCTCCACCGGCATGGACGACTTTAAATTCCATTTATTGGTTGAAGGGTCATAACACTGAGTCTTGTCTGTGGCCAGTTTCCCATTGGGCCCGCCCCCAATCACATAGAGTTTCTTCTTATGGCTGGTAGCTGCGAAGGAACTGACGTGGACAAGAAGGGGTGCTGCCTGTGGAGGCACAGGGCATCAGGAGAAGCTGTCAGTCACACAGCTACAGACTGCCCCCAGACTGCTGCAGTGGTTCACAGGACACAGGCCAGGAGCTCGAGAACATAAGCCTGGGCATCCTTTGCCTGAAGTCACAAGGCCTGTGGGCTTGACTCCCCTTGAGACATGAGGTCAAAGCACTCATTTCCCACCCTCTCTGCAGGCTCTGGACAGGCTAGAACGGGTTCAGTGTTGGATGTTTCCAGCCTGTTTCTCCCAGAGTCCAGCTATCAGGGGAGGGAAGGTGTACATAGGAATAAGCGCTTATACAGATGAAACCAGCCACTATTTGGAGGAAAATGCTTTCTCAAACATGCATATTTCTATTCATTCATGTGTTCCTTCATTCAAAAAATATTTACTGAGTGCCTACTATGTGCCATTGCCCTTATTGCTTTTATCTAGGAAGAAAAGCTGATATAAGGGTTTCAGGGGGCCATAGGTAAGCAGACTCCCACTCTGGGGCAGCATGAAGATTTTGGTATTTAGCCAGACCTGTGCTTCTACCCTGTGAACCCCAGGGCACTCAAGGGGACTTCCAAGAGCTTCTTGCCTTTTGACATGGCCCTCTTGGGTCATAGAGCAGCTGTCATGGCACTTGACAAGTTGAGAAGACGTAGGGCACACTCCTATAAAATATGAAGGGCTATATAGCAGTTTTCAGGTTGACAGGTCTTGCTTGGTTAGATGCCATGATGATGTAGCTACCTTTGCTTGTGCCTCTGATGGCCATGTTTTACACTCCCCAAAGTGGAACATACTCTGACATATAGTCTCATAAGGAGAAAGAAAATTTGTAATTAAGAATAACCTGGAAATACAGGAAGTGAAACTGTTTTACTCTTATTATTATTATTATTATTATGACATTTAACATGAGATCTACTCTCTTAACAAATTTTTTTTTTATCGGACAGGTAATGTGCCAAGGTTGTAACAAGGTTTGAGGGCGGCACATGTCACACAATGGTTTGAAGACCCAATCATCACACTTATGAACTACAAAAGGATATCTCTTAACAACTTTTTAAGCATACAATGCAGTGCTGTTATCTGTAAGCACAATGTTGTACAGCAGATCTCCGGAGTTTATTCACCTAGCATAATTACAAGGGCTAACTTCTAAACACTACCAAATGACTCTGAATCAGTAAACAGTGTAGGAAAGGGATCTCTGTATGCCCACTGGGGAGACAACAAGGGCGGATGGCATCTGAGGAGACAGACTCTGAGCTCAGACATGCAGACTGAGGTTAGAACCAAGCCTCCCCTCTACATCTGGGCTTCTTGCCAGGATAGACAGGTGCCCACGCAGAGCTTCCCCGTCTGGAAGGAAGTTGTTTCTCTGACCTGATCAGCAATGCTGAAGCAATGGCTCCTATTAAGAGGGAAGCTTGGAGCCACCAAAAATGTTCTCAGTGGGAGCAGAGAGATCAGAAAGCCATATACCTACATTGGCACATACTTCTTTTTTAAAGCTTTGAAGTAATAATACAAAATTACTCATAGAAATAATCTGCTATACCTCTGACCAGCAGTTATGGAAGGGATCATAGGTCTCCACATTGTTGATCCTCTGTAAGCCATCAAAACCTCCAATCACATAGACCTTGCCACCTAATACCACCATTTTATGCCTCCAGCGGCCTATGTTCAAATACTCAATTTGAATCCATTTGTTGATTGAAGAATTATATTTCCAAACATCATGCTGTGTCTCTTTGCCACCTAGAAGAGATACAGAGCATTTAAGAAGCCACCAGATATATCAGAAACACAGCTTCCCCCATAATTTCCCACAGTCCTTAAACGCTATATCCCCGGGTCAGCTCTGCTCCCAAACAAAAGAAATCGTGAAGGTGTGTGTGGTCTGGATGGGGAAATCAACATAGGGGAATAGAGAAAGCCAGGTGAGGCTGGGGTGAATTGTGTACCAGACTGTGCTAGGTGTCACGTCTGTGCTGTGAGAGTTCAGAGAAGAGGTGGCTGAGTGAATTGGGTCCAGAGAAGTCTCCAGGGAAATGGCACCCAAGTGGCCTGGGTGGATGGGGGCCAGCAGGCACCTGGACTCAGTGTCTGTGCAGCCAAGGGGTAGGAAGCAAAGCAGGACAGGTAAGGTTGGACCACTGCAGTGGGGATAGGAGGCCCTTCACCGGCAGGCAAATTAGGAAGTACCTTAAGTTCTGTTTGCTTGTTTGTTTAGGCAAATACAAACCTGGGAAAATCACCAAGAAATCTTACAAAATTGTCTTGGTTCAAATCTCTGATCTATATAAAAAACATAAGTAGGGTTTGTCCTATTGTTAAAAGATTTTATTATAAAAGAATTAGATGCTCACAATAGATAATTTGAGAATGAGATGGTAAATATTTTTTTTGAGACAACTCTCTGAAAATACATAATTCAGTTAGGGAGAGAGACCAAGATCTTTGGGGGGATTTTAATAAAAATATTTTAAAAGCTTTGTGTTTCTATTCCCCATCAGCATAGAGTATCACCAACTACTTAAAGCAAAGCATGTACTTTTCAGGGGCACCTGGGTGGCTCAGTTGGTTAACCATCCAACTCTGGATTTCAGCTCAAGTCATAATTTCATGGTTTGTGGGTTCGAGACCCACGTTGGGATCTGCACTGCGAGCATGGAGCCTGCTTGAGATTCTCTCTCTCCCTCTCTCTCTGCCCCTCCCCTGCTCTCTCTCTCTCTCTCTCAAAAATAAATAAATAAAATCTAAAAAAAAAAAAAGATGTACTTTTCAGACTTATAAATGTGCACTAGTGGGGCAATGTGTATCACTGATGATGCTCTGTGTCCTGGGTAAATGTTTCTCTAAGGTAGAGCCCAGAAGTGAGATTTCTAAGGGAAAGGCATGCACACCTTGAATTTTTATAGGTGTTGCCAAAGAGCCTTCCAGAGCTGTCCTGGTTGACCTTTCCCTATACCCCACTCACAGCATATATTAAGAGCGTTTTTTGGCTTATTTTGTTTTGCAAGCTGATGGAGAAAAATAACACCATGGTTTGGTTTTTCCTGAGCTTCTTCTTCCATGAAGTTTCTGTTCACATAGTTCAACCATTTTTTCCTCGGGTTGTGTGCATTTTAGAGGTCTCTATTCAAAACACTGTGCGTGATATTGATCCCAGTGCGACAGTGTCTAAAGTTATAAAATAACTATATACTTTCAAAGTAATGTATGCATACTGTATTAAAAAGGAAACAAAAACTCTATGAGTTTTACCTCAAGATGTAAAGAAGACCTGATTAGGTTGGAGGCATGACATGTGCATAGACGAGAGGACAGACAAGGGCTGTAAAGATGTCAGCCCTCCCCAAGTTCATCAATACATTCAGTGCCTTCAGGACTTTTCAGGGAACTTGAAGAGATCATTCTAAATTTCATTTGGAAGAGTAAATTTGGAGAAATGTCTGAGAAACTTTTGAAAAAAGAATGAACAAGGAGGATTTTCCCAGCAAATATTAAAATATACTAAAAAGCTACAATAATAAAAGCAGTGTGGTACTAGCATCAAATGAGACAAACTGACCAACGAAAAACAAGAGTACAGAACAGACTGAAAGATATAAGGATCATTAAATAAATGGTATTAGAACAATTGACTACTTAGGGAAAAATGAAGTTAGAGCCTTCTTTCACATTACAGTTAAAATAAAATTCAAAAGTAAATGGTATAAAAGTAACTGGAGAATATATGGGAGATGCTGATGATCTTGGGGTGAGGAGGGGCTTTCTAAGCATGACACAAAATGCAGAATCACATAGGAAAGAAAGTTACTATATAAAATATAAATTGAAGTTCAAAGATAACCATAGTCTGAGAGAAACTATTTGCAATACAAATAGCAAAGGACATAGAATAAGAACTGCAAAAAATTACTAAAAAGACAAACAACCAATAAAGAACAAAGGGTAGGAATAGATAATTTTCAAAAATAAAGTGTTAGCTAATAAATATATGAAAATATGCTAATATCATTAATGATCCAAGAATGTAAATATAAACATTTTGGGCTATGAAAAAAAATGTAATTGATAAGAAAAAAATGTCAGCAAGGATGAAGAAAATGGGCCATGTCATTCAACGTTGGTTGAACTGCAAACTGGTACCAGTTTAGTAACATCTACAAAAATTCTAAATGGACACATCTTATGACCACTTCCAGGAATCTCTCCAAAGAGCAGCACAAGTTCATAAATACATGTGTATTAAAATGCCTATTGCAGCATTTTTTTCCAGTGGGAAAATAAAAGCTGAAAAAACTGTATTTCATTCAATCAGTAGACTGCCCTGAAGCTGGTGGAAAGAACACTAGCAATAATGAAGAATAGCACTGCTGAGCTCTCCTATGTGCTTGGGATTGTGCTGTGCTTTATGTAATACATATTACATCACTTAATCCACATGACAGATCCCTTATGTCAACACGTGATGATGCCCAAAAGAGACTGTTAATTGAAGCACAAATCTCTGTGATTTAACTGTGTATAACAAGCATGACTTCATGTATTGCTCATGTCATTTATTATTATTATTATTATTTTAGAGAGAGAAAGAGCATGCACATGAGAGCTGGGGAGAAGAGCAGGAGGGAGAGAGAATCTTAAGCAGGCTCCATGCTCAGCAAGGAGCCTGTCAAGGGGCTGAATCTCATGAGCCTGGGATCATGACTTGAGCCCAAATCAAGAGTCAGATGCTCAACCGACTGAGCGATCCAGGCGCCCCCAGTGTCACTTTTAAATAGACAACAACAAGTTTAAGTGAGGCGAAGGACAAGTTGTAGAACAACATGTGTAGTGTATGTGACAAAGACTGACTATGGTTCCCAAATCTGTCTTTTCCTCCTGTACACACAGCTCAACTACATTTCCTAGCCCACCGCATGGGGGCTGGGGCTGCAGGGGTGGGAGTACGTGGCTAGTTCTTGCTAATAGCATGCGAGAAGACTGATGCCTCATGTCCAGGCTGAGGTTGTTATGAGCAGGTATGCTTTCTCAACTTGTTCAGTGTCTCCTTCTTCCTCTAATGCATCAAACTTGAAGACCACGTGTGGAAAACAGCAGCATCATAAGATGCAAAGAACCTCGGTCCCTGAATGACTGAGTGAAGGAGGTCCACACTCCCCAGTGCCCACATACTACTGCCATAATTCGCTGAGATTTAGTGTTTGTTACAGCAGCTGGCATTACTTACTCTAAGCCAATATAAAACTATTTTTGTAAAAAAGTTAAAACGTATAGGATTGTAATAGCACAGAGAAACTGCCATATTTTACTTTACACCCTGTATTATTTGAATCTTCTACAACAATCAAAAAAATACTTCTACAAGATAAATGAAAGCTATAATCTAATCTATGGTATTAACATACCCAGGGAAGAACTGACCTGCCCTTGACTTTGGAGGAAGCCAGTTCTGCGAAGAAGCTCTTCCCCAAACAAGTTCAGATTAGAAAAAGCCTCCAAGAGAGGACAAGGTATGCTTGTCTCCTTCCTTGGGGCTCCCAGAAGAGCTGGGTGACTTTTGATGTCATTGGGAGAGGATGGGACTCACAGAACCTGGGTTGGAACCCTGTCTGACATTTACCAAGGTATGACCTGTCTTTAGATATGTTCCATAATCTTTCAGAGCCTCCATTTTCTCCATTTGTAACTTGGAGATTAAAATCACCTACCTTACAGAGTTGGTGTGATAGGCAAATGATGAAATGCCACCAAAGTGAAAATTCACCTACTGTGCTGTTAAAATGGTACAGATTTTGTCACTTAATAAATATTTATTATTTACTATGTAGCTAGGCACAGTACTAGGTACTGACAATATAGTATTGACTCTTGTAGAATTGAAGGACTAATGGGAATGAGGCATAGTGTAATTGTAAATAATTAAGCAAATAACTTAGAAGAGAGAAATGAGGGGTGCCTGGGTAGCTCAGTCAGTTGAGCATCTGACTCTTGATTTCAACTTGGCATCGTGATCCCAGGGTTGTTGTATCAAGCCCACAACAGGCCCCGTGCCAAGTGTGGAGCCTGCTTGGGATTCTCTCTTTCTCTGTCTCTCTGTCTCTCTCCCTCTGCCTCTCTCCCCCCTACTTTTGCACGTTCTCTCTCTCTCTCTCTCTCTCTCTCTCTCTCAAAAAAAGAAAGAAAGAAGTGTGAAATGAAAAAGTACTATGTTCTACTGGAGCATCTAAAAGTATGACAGTAAACTTGAGCTGAGGTTCAGGTCTGGGGAGAAGAGCAGACATTTTTATTCATTACTGTATTCCCAGTGACCAGCTCAGAACCCTACACCTAGAGCAAACACCAAATAAACTCTAGTATCAGTTTACTTCTTCCTTTTCCATGAAGGACTGGACCTGTCTGCCTGCTACCCCAGATCCTAGTACAATACTGCTCACAGGTTAGTGTCCATTAAGTAATAATGTGCTTTCCCAGATAAGACCCCCTGGGTTTCTCTATGCTGATCCAGTCAGAGTTAGACCATTGCCATTCACAGTAATTCTTGTAAGATGGTGGCCTGGCTCTCACTCAGGAAAGTACATCGTGCCACTGGGGCTTCCTTTGGCATCATGTGGCTCCTGCTTACCTGAGATGTAGACCTCATTTTTTAATGTCACGCATGCAAACTCCACCCACTTCTTGTTCTCACTCTCCAGCTCATGCTCCGTCATGGGGAGCTTGGCCACCTCCAGGCGGCTGCGCCTCAGGGGGTCCAGGCAGGTTACCTCCGCCACAAACCGTTCATCCTTTGTGCAGCCACCAATGATCATGAATACCTCAGACTGAAACTCATGCATCCTGGGCTTGGTGCGCTCGGAAATGATCTGGAAAACCAACGGGAGTACATAAAGGCAGGATGACACAGAGGTTCAGAGACTAGGCTATGGAGCCAGACAGAGAAGAGCCCAATTCCCAACTCTGCCACCATATGACCAGGTGACCTCACCTCCTTGAGCCTCAGTTTCATCATCTGTGTAATGGGAATTTTAGTGGTAACTACCTCATAGGTTTGTTGTGAGGATTAAATGGTATCATATACATGGTGTGCTTGGCCTGAAAGGGGCCTGGTGTATAACAGGCACTCAACAAAGGCTACCTATTGTTGCTTTTGCTGCTGTCTTAAGAAATCCAGGTCCATTTACCATCAAATGCACTTCTTGCCTCACCAGGGCTTGAATCCTGAAATTTCATTTTTGGCCACCTTCCACTCTCTCCTGGTTTCAATTTCTTGATGATATCCCAGACTTTGCTCACCACCCGACCTCTTCTGAAAGAGAAGTCCCGATAGTAGGCACCTAAGAGCACTTAGAGACTTAGGAAGGAAAAACCAAAAGGGAGCACGGTGTGGCCGGGGAGGTTGGAGGACTGGGTTCCAACACCAAAGATATGACCCTTCAGAGCCTTGAACAAGCAAATACACCCACACCACAGATATTTGAACCCAGCTTAAAGAACAGAGGTTTGTAAATCAAACACACCAAAGTTTGGTCCTGGTTTCATCACGTATGGCCATGTGACCTTGGAGAAGCAACACAATCTCTGCAAATGCCTGTCATCACTTCTGTGCCATCAGGTCATTGTGAGCACTCATGAAGTCATGACGTAGAGGGATGAGCAGAGCACCTGGCACATGCACAGCCCTTAACAGGTAGCCATGATGGTAGGAGCAGCTGGAGATGTCATATCGGCATTCTTAGGGAAAGGGGACAGCTTCCCTCCTCCTGGTTCCATCTGTCCCTTGGGCTCAGTGGGGAAGGTTCTGCAGGTGGGTTGATGGGAGACAGAGAGGCAGCACCCATTTCCCAGATGACCAAAGCGGCTTTTTCCTGCAAGGGCAAGCTGACCTAACACAGACTATGAAGCTTCAGTCTTGACCACAGATGCAACAAACAAGTTACAGTAGCAAAAACTGCACCCTAAGTGGTGAATCCAATCAATGGTCACAAGTAATCAGGCCAGCCAAATCCAACCTCTACTTGTCCATCACAGACTTCGTTTTTTTGTACCAAAGAGTCAGATACAGTAAATTTTGCATCCTCAATTCATGGCCATAAAGTCTGTGGCAGGACTCTCTTCTGGGAGCCAGCAGAAAGTAAGGATGTGTGGGGCAATGGGCAGAACCTGAGGGCATTGACAGTGGAAAAGACAACCGAGATAAAGGTGGGAGGGGTGGTCCTGGGAACTTGGAGGCACTATGAGAATACCAAGCTGGCAGGACAGGAGCTGAGAGATGAGCACCAAAGACAGTTTTTGCCACTCTGTGATTTTCTTTCCAACTATCTACCCTGGTTCACAGCACAACCTCTCAAGAGGATTAGGGATTGTAGGGCAATGCTTAGAGGACAGCAATGGGTTCCTCCCAGAACTGGTCCCCACATGACCTTTATTCCAGCTCTGAGAGCCATGCCTCAGCCTCCCTCCAAAGCCCCCTATCTTCTTCACAGTGACTGCTTTCCTGCCTCAATAGCCTGCTGGCCAGTAGGGGACTGGACTGTGATCTTACTCCTGATTCCCAGACTGGTACCCCATTCCTGAGTCCTGGGCTATGTAAGACTCTGCTCCAATTGACTAAAACCCCTGCATTTCTGCCTGCTATCTGGATCCCCACCTAATATCTGTCCTTGATTTCCCACACCACTTCCCCATCCACTTACCTTTTAAGTCATTGGCACTATTTGTAATGTCCCATTGTCCTTTCCTCCAAGAGCCTATTCTTGACTTTCTTTTTTTTTTTTTTTTTTTTTTTTTTTTATCTTTATTTATTTTTGAGAGACAGAGAGAGAATGGGAGCAGGGGAGGAACACAGAGAGAGGGAGACACAGAATCCGAAGCAGGCTCCAGGCTCTGAGCTGTCAGCACAAAACCCAATGCGGGGCTTGAACTCACAAACCTGGATATCATGGCCTGAGCCGAAGTCAAATGCTTAACCGACTGAGCCACCCAGGTGCACCAGAGAGAGAGAGAGAGAGAGAGAGAGCGCGCGCGCGCGAGCGTGCGCGCACACGCGCGCACAGTGGGGGAGGGGCAGAGAGAGAGGGAGGAGACAATCCCAAGAAGGCTCTACACTGTTGGCACAGAGCCCGATGCAGGGCTCGAACTCATGAAACCATGAGAGCATGACCTGAGCTGAAACCAAGAATCAGACACTTAACTGACTGAGCCATCCAGGTGCCTCCTGACTTTCCACACATGTTCCCACAGTCCTGAATTTCCCCATCACAGCACTTTGCATACTTCTTTGTAAGTTACTAGAAGATCCCTGAGGGCAGGAACAGCCCTTATTCTTCAATGGATTCTCAGCATCAAGAACAGTGCTTGGAGGTTGTGAGTTTCTATAAACCTTTGCTGAATGAGTGAATGAATGAATGAATGAATGAATGAATGAATGAATGAATGAATAGGAGAGCTAGGTAACTCAGGACCTGATACAGATATTTTTTTCCAGTCTAGATCACTGTTGTAAACACCTTCCTCAGTGGTACCCGGCAATCCCCACCTCAGGATATTTACATTTTATGTTGTTCTCCCCACATTATTCGAGGGTTGGTCCCTGGGCCAACAGAATACAGCAAAGGTGATGGTATATCTCTGCTGAAACTAGGTTATCAAAAGCACTATAGCTTTAATCTTGATTGCTCTCTCAGTTTTTCTGGTGCCATTTGCTCTGGGGAAAGCCAGCTGCTATGGAGAAGCCCATCTGGCAGAAACTGAGGCTTCTAGCCAATAGCCAGCAAGGAACAGACACCTCTCAACAATCCTATGCATGAGCTTGGAAGTTGATCCTCCAACCCCGCTTGAGCATTGAGATGACCGCAGCCCCAGCTAATGGCTTGACTACAACTTCGTAAGAGACTATGAACCAGAACCACCCAACTAAACCACTAAGCCTAGATTCCTGCCAGCTGTGAGATAATAAATGTTTGTTGTCTTAAACTGTAAAGTTTTGGATAATTTGTTGCACCGCAATAGAAAACTAATACAGGCATCTAGTTGATGGAATTGCTGGGTATTAAGACCTGCCTTATCACTTGGCACCGCAGGACTCCTCAGTGGTGGCACTAATTATCAAACTGTAAACACAGCTACATTTGGCAAAATATTAACTCCAAAGGCATGAGACGTGCCTGTCTGAAGTCAGAGACGTGCAACTTTGTTGCAGATACACAGAAGTGTTTGCCAAAGAATCGCATGCAACAATCAGGCCTAACCAGTTTATTTTCAGATTGTTAAAAACAGAACAGGCAGGGGCAACTTGGGTGTCTCCGTCCCTTAAGCGTCCGACTTCGGCTCAGGTCATGATCCCACAGCCGGTGAGTTCGAGCCCCATGTTGAGCTCTGTGCTGACAGCTCAGAGCCTGGAGCCTGCTGCAGACTCTGTGTCTCCCTCTCTCTCCTTGCCCCTCCCCCCTGTTCTCTCTCTCCCTCTCTCTCTCTCCCTCCCTCCCTCAAAAAATAAACAGTAAACATTGTGGATCGTGGGTTTGAGACCCCTGTCGGGCTGACAGCTCAGAGCCTGGAGCCTGCTTCAGACTCTGTGTCTCCCTCTCTCTCTTTGCCCCTCCCCCCGTTCTCTCTCTCTCTCTCTCTCTCTCTCCCTCTCTCTCTCCCTCCCTCCCTCAAAAAATAAACATTAAAAAAATTTTTTCAATAGAACAGGCAGTTTCACCTTACTGACCACTCATTAACAGGGCCTGTACTAGAGGACCAACAGAAGTGATCATATTGCTTCAACAAAGCTGTCCTCAAGGCTGAGCCTTTGCCCCCTCTGTCCTCAGGAATGAATGACACCACACATGTCAGAGCAGTCTTTGGTACAGACCAAGGTGGTCGCAGGAAATTTAGGAGGTAATTAAATACAGGAGAAACTTTCTCTGCCCCAAAAGACTTCTCTCAGTGAAGGTACTGGCTACCACCCCTAAATCAAATGTGGATTGACATCTGCTTTTAGGGTTCTAAAATATCCCACCGCTGCCACCTCCACGAGCTTAGGGGAGGAACAAGGTTAAAAGGGAGAGATAATGATAGGGCAAGAAGGGTTCAAGTTTGGAAAAGGAAGGTTAAGGGGAGAAGTATGTTCAGAGACTAGCCTCCAGGCTTTCACTACTATTCTGAGGAGTAAACCCAAGATCATTCAGGCAGCAAACAGACAGGGAGTTTCAGGGAATCAACTGGCAATGAGACCCTGATTCGAAGATCACTGTGTTTGGTTGGTTCAGCTACCAAGACTGTAACATGGGAATGAGAAAGTGCCCTGGGGAGGGTTTAGGACAATAAATCAGCAACCCTAGGACACAGTGAAAAGAGAAATGTTAGCTTCAGAGAAGGAAAATGCTTGGTTGTGGGAGACAGAGCACCATAAAGGAACTGCAGAAGAACAAGAAGAGTCTTCATTTGTGGGGTCTTACACCATGAGCCAGACGCTGCTAACCACATCACGTTCATTACCTTACTTAATTCTCAGAACAACTGGTATCAGTTGGTAGACATCATTATCTCCACGTTACAGGGCAGGACAGAGCTTTAAAGCAGCTAAGTAGCTTACCCAAGGTCACACTGTCAGTAAATTGTACAGTCAAGATTAAAACTCAGATCTACCTAAACGCAAGCCCAAGTTCCTGCCACTGGAAACTCTTCCAGATAGAAGACTTCTGTCTCCCACTCTCCCCCACGCTGCAAACACCGAAGTGAGAGCACATATTTCAGAGCAGCAATTTTGCAGAAGGCATAGTACAGATATTTTATAGAAGAGGAAAACCTTTATCACCTGCATTTCAGGGACTTAGGAAACAGGAAGCAGAAATAAAAATAGCTAGAATACTGGAAGTGTAGTTGATCAAGACCCTGAACTGAGAGCAGCTGCAGAGACTGACACAGTTTGCAATTTTATGAGAGCTTTAATGCTCGGTGCTGAGCCATCTGCCAGTGACCCACATATCCAGCATAGGGCAGGGCCCATATGGTTGCCTAGACTCCTACCTCTGTGTACTCATCACTGTTCATCTGCTTACTGTCTTGGCTTCTCTGATAGACCATCAATTTCATAAGGCAGAAACTGTTTTTGTAGTGCCCAGGGCCATATCTGGCAAATAGCTGGTGTTTAGGACTTATTTGCAATAACTAAATGTATACATACATACAAACATACATACATACATATAAAGGTTATTAAAATATATGGGATGCTGTTAAAGTGGTACTTAGGGGGAAATTTATAGCACTGCTGGCAATACTAGAAAAAAAAAAAAAGAAAGTTCTCAAATCAGTGACTTC